AATGGAAGAATTGGACATGCCTGACACGTGGTTTCAACAAGATGGTGCCATATGCCACACGGAACGCGAAACAATGGCCCAATTAAGAGCCGTCTTCGGTAAACAGTTTATCTCAGGTTTGGGGCCCGTCAATTAGCCACCTAGATCGTGTGATTTAACGCCTTTAGATTATTTCTTGTGGGGTCATGTTAGGGCTCATGTCTACAGGGATAAACCAGCAACGACTGACGCTCTGGGAGCCAATATTGAATCATTTATACGTGAAATACCGGTCGATATGTTAGAGAGAGTGTACCAAAATTGAACTCTGCGCATGGGTCATCTAAAGCGGAACCGCGGATAACATTTGCATGAAATCATCTTCAAACATTGAATTATATTGATCGTTCTACCAATTCCAAAGAAGATTTCATCAATTTTTTCAAATTTTTTGTGTTGGTTTGAAAATCAAATCCCATTCTTCTTAAAAAATCACTGTTTACTTTCTCAATTAGTGAACGTCTCAATATATTCACGTTGAATGCAATTCAGTCGAAGTACCCTGCGTGTCTGTCTGTCTAACCACGATAAACTCACCAATGGAGGAGTGATTCAAGAATAAGGTTTATGTGTATTGTTTTACGTTTCCCCTGTAGATTCACCAATAATTGACCACACTATACAATCAAACTCAACTTGATACGCCTACTACACTGCCAATACAACACAAAAATCAACTGAACTCAAATATCTATCGCCACATCAGTTCACTTCGTACCGCACTGTCAACTAGATGAGCTTCCTCTGCCTGTTGCCATGCTTATATAGGGTTTTTAATTAGGCGCTTACTATATTTGGCTTTAAATAAAACAAAGTGTGTGTGAGATATCACCGAAACTTTTTTATTCAATTGTTTAAATGTCCGCCACGGCTTCTATTGATGGAGCACATTCGAAACGTCTGATTTTCCATGACTCTGCCTCATTTGACAGGCTGAATTTGACCAATGGCATGGGTTATGTTAGGTAAGCTTTGAGGATCGCTGGGGTACATGGCTTATTCGCATACATCTGCGACTTAAAAACAAGAAACAAGAAAAAGTCTAACGGAGTCAAATCGTACGATCTCGGTGGCCAGTTCACATCACCTCCACGTGAGAAGACCGTGCCCACAAATCGCTCATGTAGATTAACTAATGTTGCATGAGATGTGTGGTACGTAGTGCCTGTTGAAAACCACATGTCGTTGGTATCCACATCATCCAATTCATGCCAAAAGAAGTTGGTAATCAACGACCTATAGTGCTCGCCGTTGACAGTGATGTCTTGGCCAACGTTGGCCAGTAGGTAGGAAGATTATAGCGACCGTAAAATGGGCTAAGCGCGGTACCTTGCCGGAACAGAACGCCCATTTTGTTTAAAAAAATGTATCGTTTGCACGTCCATAGTGATTTGGCAAAAGAGACTAAATGAATGACAGTTGACAGATGTTGACAGATTACAGATGTAGCTTCAACAAGTAAACTATAGCCATCTGCTAGGACTATACACATCCGTCTTTCAGGCGGAAGTGTATGCTATTTTGCAATGTGCTTATTAAATTGAGACCTCAAAGAAATGAGCGGAATGTTCGTGATGACCGTGAAATGTCGATTCGCCGCCGTTCGCAGAAATTGGGCCTCTATTACTCCCATACGTGGAAAATTTTGCGAAAGGATTTGGGTGTAAAACCTTATAAGATACAGCTGGTGCAAGAATTGAAGCCAGACGACCTCCCACAACGTCTAACATTTAGTGAATGGGCGCTGGAAATTGTGTTCAGCGAGGAGGCTCATTTCCAGTTTAATGGATACGTTAACAAGCAAAATTGTCGCATCTGGAATGAATATCAGCAACAAGCATTGCAAGAGCTACCGATGCATCCCGAAAAAGTCACTCTTTAGTGTGGATTATGGGTCGGTGGCATCATCGGGCTGTACTTCTTCAAGGACGACAATGGCCGGAACGTTACTGTGAATGGTGAGCGCTACTGTGTGATGATTGACGACTTTATATCGCCCGGAATGGAAGAATTGGACATGCCTGATGTGTGGATTCAACAAGACGGTCGATATGTTAGAAAGAAGGTGCCAAAATTGAACCTTGCGCATGGGCCATCTAAAGCGGAGCCGCGGACAACATTTCACCTCAAACATTGAATTATATTGATCGTTCTATCGATTCTAATAAAGATTTCATCAATTTTTTCTAATTTTTTGTGTTGGTTTGTAAATCAAATCCCATTCTTTTTAAAAAATCACCGTTTACTTTCTCAATTAGTGAACGTCTCAATATATTCACGTTGAATGCAATTTAGTCGAAATACCCTGCGTGTCTGTCTGTCTAACCACGATAAACTCACCAATGGAGGAGTGATTCAATAATAAGGTTTATGTGTATTGTTTTACGTTTTCCCCGTAGATTCACCAATAATTGACCACACTATACAATTAAACTCAACTTTATACGCCTACTACACTGCCAATACAACACAAAAAATCAACTGAACTCAAAATATCTATCGCTTCATTAGTTCACTTCGTACCGCACTGTCAACTAGATGAGCTTCCTCTGCCTGTTGCCATGCTTATATAGGGTTTTTAATTAGGCGCTCAGTATTTTTGGTGATATCTCACACACACAAAGTGTGTGTGAGATATCACACACACTTTGTACACACAGATAGCGTCGAAAAATGAATCAAAGCGGACCTGAAACCGATGTGACGAGATCGTATTTTTAATTAATTACAAGCAGATAGGTATAGTTCAAGTAAACGATATAGTGCAACCTACCTTTTTCAACTAAAATTACTTTTTTAATCCGTTTCTGCCAGTCTTCTTCGGTAATATTAAGTACTTCTTCTTTAGTTAGCTCTATTACCTTCTTATCAAATTTTGGAAAATTATTTTACGCCTGATGATTCTCCCAAATTAACTTGATGGGATTGGAAACACAAAAATAGGGGGAAACTTTCAGTATGGTGTGTCCATACTTTTCAGCAATATTCTCGAGGGCATACACTTTTTCAAATGTTTTTGTCCGTAAAACTTCAAGTAGTTGGTTTTTGGTATAGTAATCTCCAAAATACAAATTGATATCCATTAAAAAACTTTGTATTTCATCTTTACTCGAATTTTTATTCGGTACTTTGATGAGCTGTCGTGAATGAGAACTATTCGCATCCAAATTTGGGATCAATATGTTTTCAAATCATTCTTCGAAAATATTAGTTTCCATGTTCTTATGCATAGTCAACATTGCAGTCGTCAAGTTTTTTCCACATCATTTCAAAGAATTCGGAACACATCCTTTACTTCCTCCGCAATGCACAATGATTAGTAGCGATTATTTGTTTGCAGGCATGTTAGGCGTACACATTCTCGAACCATCAGTCCACCCTTTCGTAACTGTGTTGTGAGTGCCATACCAAGTTTCGTCCAAATAGAAAATTTGCCGTTGTTCTTGTCTATATTTATTTATTTGTTCTAAATTTTTGTCACGCAATTCAACTGTTCTGCTTTCCATAACTGCTTGACGTTTGTTTATTATTTTAAATCTAAATTCTGAAGAGTTTTGTCACAGCAGCTCACGTTATAGCCGGGAGTATTCAGTTGTAGGAATCTCATTGCTTTTGTATCAGTCGTATATTGCTTTTTTCAATGATTTTATTAGATGAACTTCTAAAGGTTTTGGTAATCCCGTATCACATCGCATCTTGCGTTCATAAGGTCTGTTTTTGGCTATTTTACGTACAGTTGAGAAATGAATTTCGGTCAAATCTGATATTGCTTGTAATGGTTTGTTTCCCTCGAAACCAAACTTGAGATGTAAATTCTTACATACATTCAAACATACTCTCTGTGTTTCAATATTCAAATGCATCCGAATCTTATTCACTGATATCTCTTTTTCGCATTGTTCACCATCGCTATTGGAATCACCACACAGGAAAAAGTCTGCGTTGTCATCACACACATTATTACTATTAGTACTTGTCCAAGGACGCCACATTTTAAACAGATAACAAAAATTTTAAGTAATTATAACTGCACCAATATCGAATTTCAACACTCAAATCGCGATCAGTTCCTGAACTGAACATTGACAACACTACAGCTCACATTCTATTCGTCACCGTAACATGACTACAAATTTAATTTCATGACTCTTCAGTCAATCATAAAACTGGGTTAGTAAAAATCATCCAATACGAACCGCCAAGTCTACATTCCACGTGGATTGATTGGCANTTTCCTTGTATTGTTTTTTGGCCTTTGAGGTCGCCAACAGTTTTAACTTTGCACTATACCGGTTACTTCGACTATACCTACATACCTCTTTCGAAATTAAAATTGATAACAACAATAATATTTTTGTTTATTCACTGTTAATCAATAAAATAATCAGGAAGTATACTGGACGGTGAAAGTAAATAAATAATGCTCGTCATAGAAGCTCAAATTTCAGTGAAACTATCACTTATACGTGACTTCCACTGTTCGAGAGAATTGTATGCAAGGCCATTATTATCAGTTATTATCTAGGATAATGAGATTATGAGATTGTGTTGCAATTCGAATGAAATAATGAACTTGAAATTATAAAGGTCGAAGGATTTTATATAAAAAAAACTGAGACCAATGAAGAATAATAATTTATTCCTGTCCAAGTTTTCAAAAATAAATAAAATAATTTCAGGCTGTCGACTGGGAAGTAGAGATAGTGGCCGTAATTGGCAAAAAAGCCCATCAAGTGAAGGCAGAAGATGCTCTCGATTACGTTTTTGGTTACACGATAACGCAAGATTTGACGGCGAAGGACTGGGTTATGAGAAATGGTGGCCAGCTGGTGATGTGCAAGAATTTCGAAGGTTTTTGTCCTTTGGGTCCTTGCATAGTAACGAAGGACGAACTAGGCGATGTCTACAACCTCTCGCTGAAAACGTGGGTCAACGGAGTGCTGAAACAGGATGGTCATTCTGACAATATGTTGCATAGGGTGGACAAAACCATCGAATATTTGTCAAGGTACGTGAATCGTTAGTTTTTAGACCTAGTCAACTGTACGAGACAGTGGTTTTTAAAATCTGAAACAATTATTTTAATTTTATTTCAGTCATCTCTCCGTTTTTACTAAGTACGATTGTTTCCATGTGTTCAAACTCTACAGGTATTCTTAAATCCTTCAGGCTTTTTAATGTATTGAGGAAAATATTCATCAGCCACTGTACGCCAGCCCATATTACCGTTTCCAGGGCCAATTATACAAAAAAGTGAAAAACGCCCCAGTGGGTTCCCCACTTTCTCCAGTCCTTGCAGACCTCTACATGAGGGACTTTAAAACCATTAACCAGAGCCATTAACACGTCACATCTCAAACCAACGTGTTGACGCTGATACGTGGATGACGTCTTCGTTATATGGCCCCATGGATCTGAAGGTCTTCATGCATTCCTAAATTAAATCAACTTCCTACACCTTGATCTAAAATTCACAACGGAAGTCGTGCGTCGAAAACCTACCCATACAAATCGCTGTCTCAATGCTTAGTTCCATCATCATTCTGCTCCGCTGAGTTCCGTTTCGAATTCTCTCATACACCGTTCTATAGGACTCATTGACAACCACACCAGACCAAAGAAACTATACAAACTCAAAGTCGCCTTTCACCAAAACGATTATCTCGTCTCATGAATCCAAAGATTTATTCAACGATAGCAAACCCAAAGCCCATACTCTCGATGAACAGACTGACCAGCCAAAAGCTTATCACCCTCACATCCATGGAGTTACAGACAAAGTAAGCCGAATTCTGGAGAGGTATAACGTAAGAACGATATTCACAGCCAACATTCAAATCTCCACTCTTTTACGAACATCCAAGGACGCGATATGCAATAAGGCACACGCTATATACCAAATACCATCTTCTACCTTCCCCAGAACTTACATTGGCCAGACCGCTAGAAGAATTCCCAACAGAGCCTATGAAAATGAACTAGCTGTTCGCAAATCAGATCTAGCATCATCCTTCTCCAGACATCATCGTGAAACAGGCCACACAAAACATTAAAATCTTGCCACTGAAGAAACTCTCTAGGCCAGGATAATCCTCGAAGCTACTGAAATTCAAAAACCTTCCAACTGTCTCAACTCCGTTCCCACTACCAATTCCACCATCGTTTTTCTTCCCGGGACACAAATACCAGACCAGGACCAGAGACAAGACCTGGGGAGTAGACAGATTGAGACCCCGGCGTCAAGTCACAAAACCCTTAAAGAGTCTCACTACCTGAGGAGTAGGCAGATTGAGACCCCAGTCCAGTCATACTATCTTGAAAATGTCTTCGAAGTCGAAACGTCGAACAACTAAAAACACTAGACGCGGTTCCACCCGATTCATTACATTACTTGCCACAATTGAACCTCAATACAGATACGGGACGGACAGTCATGTACTGAAACCTCAACACTAGTTCTAAATTTATTGTAATTGTCCATATGCCACGCGCGGATTCATTTCCTTGTGTTTTTTCTGTTTTATTTATTTTATGATTGGTAGAATTGAGATTTGTGATGGAATAGTACGAATAAAACATTATTATATCTTTGATTTGTGGTGGAAGTCATCTTGAATTTAGACAGGTTGGAGCCTGGCTCCCTTACCCTTTAGATTGATGTTTGCCAGAAGGACAACCGGGTCACAATCATCCTCATTAACTTGTTTTGCAATACCTCCAGAATGGAGATATATTTCGCCGCTTGTCCCCAGACGCCTGAAGCATACATGATGACAGGCTTGAACATCGTATTATAGAAGGTGATTTTGTTTTTGAGACTCATTTTTGATTTTCTGTTGATCAGAGGATACAGACGTGCTATCCGACCCTCGATCTTTGATTTGACGCACGTTATGTGCGGGTTCCAAGTGAGTCTACGGTCTATTAGAAGGCCGAGGTACTTTACCCGCGCTTGCTAGTTAATCTCGCTTCCAGAGATTCTCACTTTTCTGGCCGGAGAAGATTTTAGTCTTCCACCTTTTTAATTCAACTGCATCCGATTCAAAAAAAATTAAATGGAAATCGTTACTTCTTTTTCACTTTGTACAAGTGTTTTTTGTTTTATTCTGCGCCAGAGGTTCCAATAATAGCTTTCAGTTAAATTATTAATCTCATCTACTGCATATCGGATTTTCATTCATTAGAGCACGTTCCAGTGTTTTGTTTTAATTGAAAAAATTTCACCGTATTTGCTTTTGCACGGATTTATTTCCCTCCGCGATAAACTTTTTCCGTTTCAACATCGAACAATACCGTTGTTATTGGCAGGATGAGCGCAACAATCTATCAGAAGTGGTTTGTTTGTTTTACAAACCGCTGGTGATTTCTAACCAATAGTGACCCTCCAGATATTTTTGGATTATTTTCATTCTTTTTTTTTTCCACTACTTTCTGATAAGAAATACTGACAATTATCATCTACCCATCGACCCATGATGAGGAGGTACCTTATCTTGCTGAAAAGTTACACATTTGAAAATTCATTTGGATATGTTAATTATCCGAACCAGTAGATAGCCAAACGTGATACCTTAGGAGAGCCAACTATATTACCTGATATGATGCCTTTAGATGTTTCTGAATGAGAACATAATATCATAATTATATTGATTTCCAAATTTTAAAGCACGTTTGCTTTTCACAAACAAAACATTTTTCTTTTGAGAAGTTAGTTTAAAAAAAAGTTCATATGAAAATAGGTCTAGAAATTAATTGTTTTCAACGTAGAGGAAACGATCTTTTCTCAAAAAATTTTTTTTTGCGTTGATATTGTTAATATCCGTTGTCGCAACAATAAATTTAACTTGACAAATGTAAAACATCGCAAAATTGTTGATTTTTCAGCACACTAGTTGTCTTCATTCGCTTTTTGTTTTCGAAGCAAGGCGAATTAAGGAAACAAGTCGGAAAATAAAAATGTTCCCCTATGGTTCAGGAGATGAAAATGTTTTATTTTCTATTGTTTTACCAAACACGCAATTGAATGTAACAAGAAAGTCCGTGGCGTATGCGATATTTTCTTATAACACGCTCTCACAGTTGAGAAAACCCTGTATAAACACAGATCGTATAGTATATATGAAGTTAATTCGGATGGCATCAAAACTAAATAGTTACCAAACGTCGGCAATTTCTTTGTATGGCATTGGCGGCGTCGTATACTCACGAGGTCTAATCATTATTTTTATGTGGGAGGTTTTATCTGGTATTAATTAGTAAATTCAACAGACCTGCTACTTAGTCGAATCGACTTCGAATAAACATTATATCGTATCATTTATAGATCAGAAGATACCAAAAATAAGAATTTTTACAATTGCCACCACTTCGTTAAAGAAAGTTTGGTTTTGATGTTTTATTGATTGTTTCTCGCGATAAAAAAAAAACTTCATTGGAAATAACACGGCTTCAATTCTTTCAGCAGAAAAAATCTAACCCTCCCGGACTAATACTGAACGCTATGCTCCTAAAATTTCTTTGGAAGTTTTCATAACACTAATTTCATCATTATATTTTCCAGCGTTATGACGTTACTCCCCGGGGACCTTATATGCACCGGAACACCGTATGGAGTCGGGGCTAGCCAAATTCCGCCTCAATATCTGAAGAAGGGAGATCTCCTCGAGAGTGAAGTTGAGAAAATTGGAAGAATGGCAAACCGCATTGTTTGAGCTATCGAATTTGTTTAAGAGTAGTTGTTTCATTTGACAGAATAAAAAAGTATATTTTTTAGTGAAATCTATGCTATCATACTCGTAAAAATTGATATTCAAATGACACAGTTCATACATTTCCCGTAAAATCAATTTGGAGAATATGATATTTGTAACAGTTGAACTTCTTTCAAGATGACGTATGGAGTAATGGGCTGTGTTACGATTGAATAATGTACGAGGGTCCCAGAATTACCCAACAAGGAAAACACTATAAAAACACTAAAGAAACTATACAAAAACCCTCTGTTGTGAAATGTTTTCCTACTAACATTAGCTAAATCAGACATATGATTTGTCACTTGAACTGACCGTTAAACATGATTATACCCTGAATCTTCTCCTGGCTGTTATTATAACGAGAAAATATTCATTTGTTCGTTTAAAAGGAGATAGAGTAGCCATTACTAACCCCACTTTGGCCCATGTTTGAAAAAAACTGGGGAAAAATCAGTTGTGATGATTTTTAAATTTTTTTTGCAGATATGAGACTGTCCATTATTGAAATTTTTTCATCGATAACAATTATGATCAATGACCTAATCTAGTCCACGAGGAGGAGGACAAATAGGTTTTGACCTCGGCTACTTCAATTCTACCTCAATCGAGGGTTTGGCCCTGGGACACATCTGAAATGACTGCAATAATGATGAAACTTTGACCTATACCATTGAAAATACCTAATTCTTTTCAATTTCAATTCTGAATTGGTACCCTAATGAAGCCGAAGCGCATCACTAGACACTTAAAATTCCAGTTTCACCTGTCTTTTCAAAAAGTAGAAATCACGCACATTGGCGTTAGTGTTGTTGACGAAACAATCATAGCAGTCTGTTATGAACAGACATGGAGAATGCTTTTTGCGAGTATACTATTTCATAACCTCTGAAGTTACACATCGGACAGTTGAAAGTGATTTGAACTGGATCTGACAGCCAGTTTCTCAAATCTGATAGTCCCTATCAATCCACAAGTTTTCCTATATAATAGTTATACATTTAAAAAGATTCTCTCCAACGGAAAGTAGAGGCAAATTGAATGATGTCATCGAGTTTTCTCTAGAAGGATTGGATATGGACAATTTTGCAGCAGAAAATGTGGCTATTTGTTATGATCATTATGCACTTGTTTCATTTTTATAATACATTTTCGACCCAGAACTTGTACTTGGTAACTCATGTTGTGAGGAAGGGTTATGAGGTTCAATTTTTCTTTACATTGCGCTGCCTAGCTATTGCTTCTAAGAAGCAGAACTGAAGAACATCGAGAATAAATTACCAGTTTCTTTACAATTTCATTACGTTATATACGACATCTTTGCTTGACGCTATTTACAGACAATGTTCAATACATACCCTCTTCGTCCTGGCGGCGGAATTGGCACACTGTAGGAAATCAACCATCTTTTATTCGAACAAGAATAGTATGGATAGGTCCACCAACCCTTGTAGGCAACATTAGGAGGGCTCTCTACGAATTTTGGAGATCTCACACCTGGACTTGAATCAGCGTCTTCGTACCTGCAGAATGAACAAATTAATGCTGATGAAAATCGAGTCGAAATAGAAGAAGTCAAATGGAGTCCAAGTTATGGAGTCCATCGTTATGATGTTGGAAATCAGAGTTAGCTCTTTCACTTTTAGATGCACAGGACTAGTATTTGTATTTTTTCAATACTCAAAGTGGTTTCAGAGATTATCATACACAGAAGAAAACATTTAACTTAAAATGATGCGGCCAACTGCGACCCACTGACGTTCAGTGTTTGTCAAATTCAACTTTTTATTTGAAAAAAATTGAAAAAGTGCATTTCTAAATCGAATTTAACAAAACAAGTTACTTGAAAAAGTTGTGTCTACGGCAATTTTATATCCATATGCCAAATTTTATGCAACTAGGATAAAGTTGACGTTTTGCTTATTTTTGACAGATATCCCCTTTATTTTAAAAAACAAGTTCGGTTAATTGTCATCAATTCATGTATACATAACAAACTCATCATGGAGTTTAACTTTTCTGATA